AACTTTTTAGTATTATTTTTAAATGCAATTTAGTATTATATTATAATCTATAAGTTTTTATAATTTTTTCATTGTAAACATAAAAATTATAAAAATAAATAATATCCTTAGATATAATAAAGAGAGCAAATAGAATAAAGCGATGTTTATCGATAAGAAAAATCAAAGAAACGATATGCAGTACTTTGGAATGCAGCAACATCTTCGTTAGCTCGAACGAGCCGATATTTAATAGACAAGACCTCGTTTGCGATAGTCTACTTCGAATCCAAATCCACTTCAATGTAGCGTGAAATTACAACGTGAAATTAGGCGGTGCAACCCGATCGGCGTTCCGCCTGGAAATCGAAGCTATTTACGTTTATGCGTTTCCGATTCCCTAAACAGCCGGTTAAATAATCGAACAGCCGGAACATTGAGGTAAATCGAATATTAACAATGTTATTAATAATTACGAGGGTAAGTGGAGTCTAAACCATAATAATTTACATGACATTTCGCCCGTGCGAGAGGCGCCGCGTGCTCGAAATACGCAAACGAGTCCGGCGCGGTGAAAATCTCCGCCGTTTAACGCGTAATTAATTGGCAAAAACAAAACGTGTGGGTTTCACTAGGAAATGCCATGTGTCCGCTCGAGTGTTGCGTCGCTCGGCACGCAGCGGCCGGGGCCACTTCGTAATCACCTTGCGAGCATAAGATTGTCCATTCGTGTAATCGACGCTTAACTCATTTCCCGTTCCGTCTCGATTTCGCGGAACGCGCCGGCGGCGACGACGACAACGACGACGACGACGATGACGACGCGACGCAACGCAAGTGCGTGCTCCGTTTCTCGCTCCGAGATGCTTTAAAGGAGCGCATCCGCTTCGCCTTCTTCTCGAAACCACAATGCGCACTTAATGATTGCGCAAACGCGTTTTAAATGCACACCGACGCAGATACATGCAGATATCACGCCGCGGTGTTATGACACAAGCGTGAATCGCTCGCCGGTTTATTTTGTAACCGGTTGCAACCGCAACACGCCGACTGTGTGTGTGTGTGTGTGTGTGTGTGTGTGTTTTGCGGGAATATTTTGTAACATTTTTATCGCAGGCGCGGGATTCACCCGTAATTGCGGATGAGCCGACCAGCGTATTGTTTTCTACGTTTGAGAGCGCAATACAATATTGACAAGATTCGAATCGCCGCGTGTTTTCGTACCTTGCGTAACTCGCGCGCGCGTCACATTTGCTTTTTTTTTTTGCGCGTGCAGCATATAACACACGAGCACGTGCAGCGCGCATCGTCATGGCAACGATTACTTACTGACCTTAACGTGAAGTCGGTGTATAAAATTATGGAAATACTCTCGCGTCCTCAGGAAATCGTCTTCGTGGTAAAGCCGCTGTATGTTATGTCTCTCTCGCGCGCAAGATCCGGACAGTCTATTTTTGTGACAGGACCAAGGCCGATGGCCTAATCCAGACGCATGAATACGTGTCGCGATCTCACGGTTGCGAGCCTAATCACTCTTCAAAACAACTTTCATAAATTAAGAAAATTATTAGCGCGGCACAAATTTTATGGTTAAAAAAAGATGTTATCTCGGCTAAGTCGCAGAATTCGCAAAAATAATTCTTCTGTTGTTCTTGTTTTGAAAGACCGGATTCTAAGAGGTGTCTAGCATGTTAAATCGATCAATCGAAAGCCTTCTACTCGCGGGTAAGAGTCAAGGAACTCGAAATAGTTGCAACGAGTTTGGATGCAACTCGCAGCGGCGCAAATCGGCATGCAGGCGCGAGTCCGGCGCTCGAAGCAGGTACCTCAGGTTTCTTATCAACTGTTCCTTTCACTCGCGAACCGTTACTCAATGGGAACTTATCCTAATAAAGGCACTTTCGCCTGCATAGTTCTGCCCAGCCCCTCGGGGGGGATTCCGCGAAAAGACTGATAATCTTTAAATACGCCGGGTCCGATGTCCTCGAGACGTCGCGCACGAGGTGCATCGCGTTCAGCTTCCGCTTCGTGACGCGTAATCGCGCGCCTCGTGCGCGCGCACACACACACACACACACACACACACACACACACCCTGCGCGCGCGCGCACGCATACTGCGGGATGAGATCACTTCTCGGCCATTCGTCACAGAACGTGGCTTCGACGAACGTAAGCATCGGCGAATTCTAAGCAGCTCCGACGCGGCTCGCTTTTCAACGCACGGCGTGCAACGCACGTCGTATTGCGAGATCGCGACCTTGCGCCTTGCCTGGGCCGGTAATCGTATTCAGTTTTTCAGCCTGATAGTAATACGAGAATACCGGCCCGCCTCGTCTCCCCCCCCCTGTGCGTGCACAGACTCGATATGACATCATCCGCCGCAGCCGCAGCCGCAGCTCGTAAAGCTTGTAAAAGGTAACTCTCCGCTCTCCGGCAACCTCGCGTTTTATTTACACGTCGTTAATCTAACGTGAACTCGATAAGCTCTAAATGTAGCGTTGCAGGAGACGACGACGTGACGACTAACGCCCGCCAAATAAATTCTCGGTGCAGCGCGAGAAGGGGAAATCTGTACGCCACATTATCGAAAGTAAATAAAATAATTTAGCACGATCGCGCCTACGAAATTTCCCATAATTTTTAACACTTTGTTTTGAATCGGGTTTGAATTCTTGAAGGGTTATCTCCCTTCCCGCGTTTGCGCGTTTGTATCTGGAGCGCGTCGGAGCAGGCTGTCTAGTAAGCAAGTTTACTGTCAATGATTTTACGCAGCCGAGGATAGAATGCAAATCAATTTGCATGTTTTATACCGCCGCGTACCGCGCGGCGTATGATAATTCCGCGGCCGATGTATGAATATTCAATAAATTTTATCCCTCTCACGAGCGCTTCGACGTCGCGTTTATTCATTCGTTATTATTTATTTTCGAAAGTGGACTTTTAGAAAAATGGAAATGCAGTCGGATCGGGGATATCGGTACCCACTGCTCGAGAGAATAGATAATCGTAAAGATATAGACCCGACACCTTTGGCCTAATATATTCATCTATATTCTGGAAAAGAGGGAAAGAGAATTTCGAGTCATATTCCGTTCTTATCAACGCGACGCGTAGTAAAGAGCGGAATAAGAACTAATGCCTCGTATACATCTCTCCTCTCTCTCTCTCTCTCTCTCTCTCTCTCTCTCTTCCCTTACGTCTGACCCAAACAGACGTGTATATAGAAAATGGTGCCGTAGAAAAATATATGGCGCACGCCCGGTCTATTTCTTTATGTCTATGTAAATGTCGCCCTCGGTACGTAGTAGAAGAAGTGCCCCGTCTGACAATGAGAGAAATAAAATAGGGATTTTGCTGGAAAGTTGTACTATTTTTTAACGTACCCCGTGTCTCAGCGCGACATCGCAAACGACGACGAAGAAAGGAAAGGTTAACATCGGCTCATTGTGATGAAAAACGTGCGATGCTTTTTTTTTTTCTCCCTCTTCCCCAGCGCCGACAAAGCCGGAGAATCTCACCTCGCGGGAAATCACGGGCACAACCATTGAACTCTCGTGGTCGGAGCCCGAGAACGCCAACGGTGTCATCGCCGGCTATCGCGTCTACTACATGCATTCCAATTATACGGACGTCAAGATGCACATCCCCGACAAATCCGCGGACTCCTACGACTCGAACATCGATTTCGTCCTGAGAGAGCTGCGTAAGTATACCTGCCGCATGAACGACTCGGCTCGTGCATGGAAGATTGACGCGAATGAGATTACACGAGACGAAGTCGCTCCATTATCCTAAATTGAACGTGAATGAATATCGGATTATCCCGGATAGCGTTTCTCGCTCCTCGAATTTGCCCCTTTATTTTAATAGCACGAGAATAAACGGTGTTTAACGATCCAGCCTTTGCACAGTTTTTTTTCTTTTTTTTTTTTAACGCGGCAGATAACGCGAGATTAAGCATGTAATCTTCGCTCGACAACGAACGGTCGTTACAACAGACGGTTGGAGATAGGTCGGTGTACTTAACTCATTGATAAGGAAAACTCAAAGTGTTCTTCTTATCGTCGCGCACACGCACGCGCACACGCACGCACGCACGCACACACACACACACACACACACACACACACCTTTTCTCTCACACGCAGGTAAATGCATTCCTAGACAGATTTCGGCGTTGTAATAATTACGGATGGATAAATTAATTAATTTATTAATTTGCGCGATAAAGTATTTTGTTAAGATATGAACGGATGCGGCCATCATAAAAGATAATCGCTCAAACTTTCATTCATGAAGCTTAACTTGCTCAACTGTCATTCATGAAACCCGGCAATGCCTTTCGTGTTTCAGATCCGTACACCGAATACAAGATCTGGGTGAAGGCCTACACGCGGAAGAACGAGGGCGAGCCCTCCGACCAGATCATCCGCAGAACTGACATAATCGGGCCGAGTGCACCTCAAATCTTAAACTTGACTTGCCAGTCTCACGAGACCGTCTACGTTCACTGGGCGAGGCCGGCAACCTTTTGGGGTTCGATCGACTATTACTATATCAATTATCGAAGGGAACATGGGAAATACGATGAGATGGAACTACCAGCTGAGAAAAATCATCTCGAAAGCGGGGTACATTTTATAATTTAACATTTCGCAAGTTATATTACGGAACAAAACGCTTTATATCTTATGTGACACATAGGAAAAAAAAAATTAATCTTAAATCAAGATTATATGTTCTCATATATAAACGAGAATATTATAATCTTTACATAGAAGATTTTTAGTCTTGAATTGAACAAAAGTGTAACACTTGCATCAATACAAATCAAGACTAAGATTTTTTTAAGAACGTTATATAATATTCTTGCTTATATGTGAAAATATCTTTCTTGATTTAACTTTTTTTCTGTACAAATTTGTAAATTATATCTCTGTTGATTAACAAAGGCAGCTTTGCTTTTCTATCTTCGCTTTCAATTTATATCTCGTTAAACGTCCTTCGTTCAGACAGAAAGCAGTTTGCGATGCGATCCTAAGGAACAGTTGCGTATTTCCTGCTTGCAGGCGATCATACCCAACCTGACGGTGAACACCGTTTACGAGATCGTAGTGCGGGGGGCCACCAGGAGCACGATAAACAGCCACAAGATCATTCAGGGCGACAGGTCCATACCGACGAAGGTGTTGGTCACCCGCGATTGCGACAAGATACCGCCCTTAATGCGCCGCAGCAGCAAGGATCTCAGCGCGGGCGTAATCGCCGGCATGGTTTGCGCCTGCTTCGCCGTGATGCTGGCGATCACGTCCTTCGTGCTGTGGAAGTAAGTCACGGTTTCACGCACGCCGACGCATTACCGAGGAAATTTTAACCGCGTTTGACCGCACCGATATCATTTATTTCCGTGTCGCACGTCGATGAGCGCGACTGCGCGCGAGCTATACAAAAAAAAAAAAAAAAAAGAAGGAAGAAGAAGAAAAAAAGGAATAAATTGTAACTCACCTTCAGGCGTATTATATAACGACCGCCGTCACTTTTATAACATTTAAGCCTCCGCTTTATATCTCTTTTATCCGGACGATCTGCGATACGCGTTAAAACAAAGCCAACCTATCTTTACGTAATCGCAGCGACGCCTACTCTAGAAGATAATCGATGATCCATTAATAATAATAATGATCCATTAATAAATGATAATGGTCTTTTATCTTTGCGGTTTCGAGACACGGGAGAATAAAAGCTGCAAAACTGGGAAGTGACAAACGAGAGATCTACTTTCTCTCGGTGCAACGAGTTACGCTTTACGAGTTACAAACCGATCTTGCGCGGTATTATTTCGCATCGCCGACGTTTCACTTCCGCTCCGCATCGGCTCCGATCTAAACGCGAAACAAATGATCTGTTATTTTTGTTAGCTGGAAATATCGGACCGCGGACCGGACGGTATCAAGTACATTCAAGCGCGTGCAAACGCATGCCTGGATCGTATTTGGAGTCGGTATGGGGCAATTAGAAAGTTCCCGAAGCGAACGATGCAATCATGCGCACCTTCGCACGCACCCACAGCTATTTTTCCCCATTCAGGCTTGCCCACCTGATTTCCTACTGTCCGCCTCTTCTCAGCAACCTCCTCTCATCTCACGTTTCTCTTCTTGCTACGAGAAAAAATTTTTTTAATTCCTCAAATTCCCACGCTAATAAATCATTTGAGAAAAAAAGAACTCGGGGGAAATAAAACTGAAAGATTGAGTCTCTCCTAGATCTTTGTCTCGGCGAAATTATTTATCGTCGAATCGCGATGCACGATAAATTATTTGAGTACACTCGTATTATTCCTGCGAGAGTCTGAAATTATTTTTAAACACCCTCTCCTCTCCTTTCCCTCCCCCTCCTCATTCCTCCCTCCCTCCCTCCTTACGGCTGAATTTTTATCAAACGATTTACTCTAAACGCGCGCGAAGATACGTATTTTAATATATCCCGGCGCTCGCTCTTACGTCTCTTTCTCTCTCTCTCTC